AATGTTCTGACTCCTAAAACTTTCAAAACTAAACTCTAATACAACATAATAACCCAAATATAAATGATATAATGAATTTTTTTTTGAAAAAGTGGCATTTTTGCAAAGATTTTGAAAATGTGGCATTTTAAAAAATTTCTCTACTGAGATTTGAAACTACGATTATTTCTTTCTTGCTTATTATTTTATAAAAATCTATATTCTATCTGTTTCACTATTTTTTTCTGGGATCAATTTTGAACACCTCACAAAATTTTGTGCGGTTCTAAAAGTAAAGTAATTAAGAGCGGACTTATCACGAAAAAAGGTTGTTGACGTATCGTTATTTGTTGAATTGTAAAAGTTTTCAGCCTCCTAATGAGGAAATCTAGTTTTGTAAAGTTATTACTTGTACTTGGTACTTTATTATTCATCATGCATTTGCTTCTTATTTTTAAGCATATGACAGCNGGCAACACCATAGTTTACAGTGCCATATTGAAATTAATAAAATCAAATATGTACAAAAACATTGTTTAATCAGGAAAAAAGTTCACTAACTAATTAAGAAAACCTTCAACAGAACATTACAGAAGGTACCTTCGAGATTAATAATTTGAATTCGTACATATATACATATATAATATGCCTAACTAATTTAATTTTGATTTAGTTAGCCGGTATTTAATGTCAATGAGTAAGTTGGTTTAAGAAAAAAATCAATAAATAGACCCGAGTGAAGGTAACTATAGTGGCGTATGAAATGAGAGAATGCACGAAATTATTACGGGATATGACGTTTAGATTCAATAATTCAATGTCTGAATCGAGCAAGTCACGATGATCACTTCCTCTAGATAATGTTTCCCTTCTTCATGACCCTATAAAAGTAATGTTAATTTGAACACAAGAAAAGTTTACAAAGAAAATGAAAAAGATAATGTCATATTAAATTCTACTAATATTGATTATTTTTAATTAATTACTAGGTGTTTCTTTAGTATTATTATGTGCAGGAATTTTTTCTAATTTATAATAAATGTAAGAAATTTATGTTAACTTTTTTTTGCTTGCTTTTATGTTTTGTTCTTCATATATTTTGAACTTTTTTGTTTTTACGTTATGTTGTAGTATTGATTTTCTGAGCCTATACACCATATCCAGCGACAAAAGAATTATACTATACATTTAAACTAGGTTTAGAATTTAATGTATCTTTTGTCATAAATTAACCGATTTATTATGTTATAGGGTTAGCTCTTAGGGTCAATAGCCGAAATAGCTTCAAACCGGTTTATCGTTAAAATAGTTATCATCTACTTCACGTCGAAATAGATACATGGAACCTTGATAACTTTTGTTGACATGTGATTGAAGAGATGTGTAAGAGATGAGTGTTATCGTCCAAACATAAATGCAAACTTCTAAACTTTATTAGTTACCAATCTTGTCGAATCATTTAACAAGAGACCAACAAGTTTTGTAATGGAACTCCCTAAGTTATTATCTCATTTGAAACGATCTTCGTTTTATTTTTCTTGTTCTATAAATACCGAGTAAGAGTTTTAGACGTAATGAACTAACAGGTGGGTCCAAGACGGTGTCGTATCAATCAAAACATTTTCACTTAGGTACATACTACATACCATGATATTTTTCAACTCATATTATATTATCAAGTGAGATGAGACATGAGTTAGACTAATTCTACAACGATGATTATGTTCTGCTTTATGATCAATCAGACGTCTGAAAATCCAAATTCTATGTATGTGAGTTTAAAAAATTATGTAGTTGAATTATCAGTGACGTGAAAAGTCAATTATTTTTGAGTTGAATAATCACTAAGAAAATTATCAAGACTTTTATATTACTTCCGTTTTCTCTAGATTTTAACAGATTTGATTTACGACATTTTAAATATAATTTCAAAAATTGAAGTATTATCATTTTGGTTCATTGTTTATTTTTAAATACTTGAAATTTAAATACTTTAAGAATGAAGTATTATCAAATGTTGGTTATAGACTGAAAACGACAACAGACCATTGGTCCTAAAAAAGAACCAAACAATCAAATTCTTCTTGGTCACATACCTCACGAATGCTAATTATTCATATATTATTGGGCTTTCGAAAGCCCATGGTGTCTCTTTTACCGTTGATCCTCACGTAGTCACGTTTATAATAAAACCTCTGTTTCCCTCCAAAGTTTCCCATGCGGCTAATATGTAGGTTGGACACAAA